ATTTCCCCAGAACAGGTAGTGTAACAAATCAATCCTGACTGCACTGATAAATTGAACTTCAAGCTTGGTGATACTGCTTTTCAGGTCTAATCCAGTGTAAGACAGAGCAGGAAGGAAAGGCAAAGGCGCTTGTTAGCATTTCATTCTGCAAGGAGCTGCTCCCTGGGCAGGAGAGAAAAAGAGACGCGGCGGCTGTGGGATGCGTTATTTAATTAGCTTTGGCCTTTAAATGGGCTAAAACCAAGGTGGCATTTATCTGCAAAGTCGGCATGGCAGAACAAAAAAAACATAAACAAAAAAAAAAAAAAAAAAAAAAAGTCATCTTTTTCCCTTGTCTTTCAGCATGTTATTGCCACTATTTCTGAGGAAGGTGCCACAGGGTACGTGTGTATGTGCAGAAAGCGAGGTGCAGAATAACTGCCCGGCGATCGCTGGCTTCTTGCCAAGCCCCAATACATGGGACAGGATCATAATTCGAATTCCTGGGTGCCAGCAAGAAAAAAAGTGTTGCTTATGGCAAAAACCTGGCTCGCAGCAGTACCGGGATTACAGAGCAGCAACGCTCTGGCGGGCAGAGGAGCTGGTGGGCTGGGCTGCAGGGGGCTGGGGTTCAGATTGGGACCTGGGCGCAGAGCCCCAGGCTGAACACAGACCGATCACTCTCCCTGGGCATGGCAGAAGTACTTCTTCTAAGTAGACAGCAAGTCCTGCTCTGCGGGTCACACAGCACCCTGGGGACGCGGTCTTCCTGCCCTCAGCACTGCGGCACCGTAAATAATAACAAAGGGGATATTTGCCCTTAACTTTTCTGAATCTGGATGTCACACCTGTGGGAAACTCCAGCTTTTCACCCCTCTTCCACATGGGAGCACGGGGCTGCCTTCATCAGGACTAATGCTGGGAGAAAAGTCTGCCAGCCCTCCACATTTGGGCAGAAAGCTCAAAACATTGGCCTGAAAAAGCTCACAAAGGAAATTAAAAAAAAAGATTTAAGATTTTCAAATTTTGAAATCCCATTGTTTTGAGTCTCTGGTGGGGTTGCAGGACTGGAGAGGGGGTGAGCAAGGACGAGTGGACACTTGGATTTGACTCCACACTCCCAGGTTGTGTCTGGGTGTTCCCATCACTGCCCTGCGCAAATGTCTGCGCTGCTGGAACGCCTTGCTCTGCTTAGCTGCCCAGCCTTTGGGCACTGCCTACCCAGGAAGCAGGTTCTCCTTCCAAAAGCTTCAAAGCCCTCAATTTCACAGCTCGGGTGCAATGACAACCTGCCCTTCAGAGGTCCCTTTTGTGGGTCACAGAGTTAGGATTACACATATCACTTAATAATTAAAAACAAAGCAACATTATTCACTCTAGACAGAGCATCTCGTGGTACGGTCAAAGTCCACTGCCACAGCTTAGCCAGCCACAATGGTAGTTTGTGCAGCAGCCACTTCCACCAATGTCATACCTCCCAGCAAAGGACTGTAACATGCATTTAGGTAAGGCAGGAGCTTTGTGGGCCTCACTGTAAAATTGCTGAAAAGGAGAGATGTGCCCTCAGACAGGGAACTACACTGCAGTGTCTCAACAGTGTGTAGGCTGCCCCAAAATAAACACACAGGCAAAACCACTTAGACTTCAACCCCAGCCCAGCCTGGTATCTCTCCAAAGGTGGTCATCCCCAGCTGCCCAAGGGCCAGAGCCCCACCATCTTGGGGTGATTTGCCTTGGGATAATTTGTCCCCGGAGGGCAGCTCTTTGCCTTTTGCCTGAAGCCAGATGCCAGGTCTCTGCCACAGCTCTTCACTGAGGCTGTGACCGCTCCAGCCGCCCCTGTCGTTGCTGTAAGTCTGAACCCCCTTTTGAATCCTGTCAGGCTTGGGAGTAGAGCCTGTCCTGTTGCCATCTGGACAGAAGCCCTGACCATTCAAGAATGCACGCAGCGAGGCTGACAGGTACCTGCTGCACCCCAACTGCGCACTAAACACGTGCACTGGCTGTATCCAGGACACATGAAACGCTTCCAGTTGCATGCCTGTACCTCGCGGCAATAAGCTCTAGCTGAATATTTTGTTTGCATAGGGTTGATCAGTTCCTTCCAATTTCATTTCAGTCTCACTGTGACGGTATACCTCATCACCCAGCTCCTCTCCGCACTCCAGCCATTATTTGCTATTCATGTTATTTGCATCTGCCTTTTCCAAAAAGGACCTCTATTAGCAATACCAGTCCTAAGCCGCAGCCCCCCTTTCACTTCTGCTAGGGCAATACCACCCACTGCAAAGCTCAGCATCTCTATAAACACTGTGGTTACAAACAAATGCATCCTTCAGCAGCCTTTTAGACCATTTTTTCCACAATGCACATTGTAAATGAAGAGTAATATATCTTCAGAATTGCCCAGAAAACGTTATTCTGTTAGCAACATAAAAGCCTCAGTGTCCGAGTAGGTGCCCTTGCCAAAAACATTTTATTGTGAGCCAGATAATTCAGTCTGAATTGTACACGGTTTGGTATAATCATTCCAGTAAAGCATTCTTTACAATTCTGTAACAGCAAGTCACATGGCTCAATAAAGTTTATTGCTGCAAATGCTTAGTGATTCACGGCATGGATGAATTCTGTTTCTTTCCTGGATCAAGTAATCAATAGCAAAATAATCTCCTTGCAATTACGTTGCTCAGCATTAAAGAAGTGTGAAGTAAATAAGTACAAAATCTGATACAAAAAACAATGTATAAAACATTAAAATTAACTGCAGTTTGAAATTGGGTGTCCTGCACCACAGTTTCGCGCACGGCTTGTGGCAGAGTTATGTCCAGCATACTCCTAGCCTAAATGATTCTTGCTCAGCTGACTACACACACTGTGCAGAAACCCAGTTGGGACTGACAGATTTTCATCCCGTCATGTCCAACGGAGTCCTGCTGTGAGTCTCTGCACTCATGCAGACCCCCCTGGCCATCCCTGTGGGTGCTGGGGACAATCTTTTTCAGAGCGCATTGAAAAAGCAAGACCTACGCTCTCTCAATCAACCTTTTTGCTTCCTCTGGTGCTGCTCCTGCACACCGTAAATCAGTGTTTATAACATCCCCCACTGAGTTGAGAGCAAATTAAATCAGGCTAATTTAGTTTGCACCATCATGTTCAGCTGTGAGTCACAAAAGGAAGGAGAGGCATGACAGTTGGGAGAGGGCATGTGCTTGGTGGCAGGAGCTGCTAGCGGAGCCTCTTTGGGAGCCCGGCGGGATGGCAGTGCTGTGACACCACTGCTGAAGGGCCCCGGATGGCCCTGATCCCTCTAACCTGCCCTGCTCCGCAGCTCGGAACCCTGTGGCTCCAGCGACACCACAGTAGGCCACTTACAACAGATGAAAGATATATCATCTGTTACAAACAAGTATAAACACAGCTATCTATTTATCTGGTTCTAACAGTTTTCTCATAAAAGCAGTATGAAAATGATACTGTTTAGAAACAGACTGTTCCGGGGAATAAAGAGCGCACTGTTGTTTTTACTGTTTAATGCCTCCTGACTAGGAACACTTACACGCGATGGGGTTTCTCTCTAAATATGCTTATGCTGTTGCATAGGCTTCAACGCAGTGGCAAGCACATACCTGAGCTCAGGATTTTGCTCGCGTTTACATTCTTATCCACAGTTCACCTCATTCCTGAGTCTCATATGCACTCTAAAAGGATATATTTGAGATTAAGCACCTAAAAAGTCACAAAAAGACAGAGGGGAGGCTGCCTTTGCAAGCTTAATAGAACTCCTTCCTACAAAGGCATTGGAGTATGCTCTTTCATTATATGTTCATTCCCGTCAGAGCTCTGTTTCGTTCAGCGCCTAGACTAGGCTGTGTGCTAGAAAAGAGACACAACTGTGCTGTCCACAGGAATGCAAAAAAAAAAAAATAGAAAAATATCAAAGCAGCAACCAGTACCAGGCACTTAGTGTGGAAATTTCTAGCCCAAATACATAAATGGTAAGAAAGTGAAAAAGGATCCTACAGATAGGTGCATCAAGTACACAGTTTGATGTGAATAGTCCCACTTACAACATGTTCTCTAGTGCTGTTCACAGCTACATAACCAGTCTCCACTATTTAATTAGCTACAACCTACATGTGCCTGCATCATTTAAAAGTACACACACACTCTCTCTCTCTTATCCTGCTTTATAAAAAGTAACTGACAAATATCCAAATGTTTTACCAGACTGCTCCTGTATCATGCTACAGAGAACATCTACTCCCTGCCAATCTCCAGTGACTTAAAGACAATACGGGATCAGTTTGCTTCTCACTGTACTGTACCTTTCAAAATGCAGAGAAAAACAACTGCCTTTCTGAAATAAATCTGCAAACCTCACATCTTCCATCCACAACAAAGAGCTGGAGGCCTGGCTCATCGCTTGGTCAAATCAACTTAGGTTCACTTCAGTAGGGCTACACTGACTTATAAAAGCAAAAAGAGACGGTTTGAATGCTTGCAAATCACCTTTCCAAGTCACGGCTAAGGAAGAGTGTTCATTCAGATAGTCCCCACCCCTTCTTCCCCCCAAGCACACAGGCTCCTGCCCTCTACCATGGGCCTAGCAGCTGCAGAATTGGGATGTCCTCTCTTAGGTGACAAGTCACTCAGGGAAGGGGCTGTTTCTCTCCCAGGCTCAAGAGCCCCATCACCAAGCACAGCCTCTGGCCACTACTGCAACGTATGCCATCCTATAACAGTGGTGTAACAGCAGCATTGAGTAGGTGTTCCAGCAGACTCAGTCACTATGCTCCATGGTACCACACTGTGCACCCATAGAGGTTGTCCTCCAGCAGTCTCTTCTCAGAAGGGTTGTCTGGAGCAAAATAAGACTCAAAATAAAGCAAAATTTCAATTCATCAAGTCTGTGGCCATCAGGTCAGTTCTGCTTGAGGGGAAGACTTTTGATAAGAGGTGAACTGCAGGGCTGAGCCCAGAGAATGCAGTGTGCACAGAAAGTTGATACAAGACAGCCTTCCTCATCCTGGTACAGGCCTGGTTGTCCCCTCTTCTACAGCATTGCTTCAGGAATACAGTGTCATCATCATCCACTGCAAAGTAATGGGGAAAGTAGGTTGAACTCATCCATCCCTGAGAGTGCTCTGCAATAGTCACAACTGAACCGGGCTACGGGGCACTGGAGATTTTCTGTCTCCAGAAGGAGCAGAAGCCATAATAAAGCACAAGACTTTGAAGCCTGAAGCTCCTTCTTGTTTCTAACCCACTCTGTAAGTGATCAGGTAAAGATACCATTTTCATTCTACCGAACAAAACACGCAGTGACACTTGCAATGAAGGAGCATGCATTTGTCAGTCAGGGAACGGGCTTTACCTCAGTTTCCAGAAGATATATCCCTTTGCCATCCTGTGTTAAGTTGCGAAAGGCCTCTGCATAAGAAATAAATGAGCAGCATTAACTCAATAGCCAAGAGATGAACACCAACCAAGACACTCTGTCTCAGGAAAAGCCTCTATTCACAAGTGCACAGGAGCTTCTCTCTCCATCACTGGAAGATCCCCACGGGCTGGGACACAGGGAGTGGCTGAATAAAGTCAGGCATGTTACTGTCTATCCACCCCGCTGTGAAACCTCAAAATGCAGGCAGTCCCAACTTCATCCACTACGGTTTTGAGACATGTGCGAGGTGTCTACAGCACAAGCTCACAGACTGAGTATCAGCTGTCTCATCATCACAACTTCAGTCCCACCAAAAGTATATTCCAAGGCACTCTTCTTCCTGGAAAATGAGCAGTCTCCATCTGTAATTTGCCCACCTCCTCCCACAGAAGGCTGGTGCAAACCTGCGGGGAGCTAAATTACTCTGATATATACAACCTGTAGAAAGTAAGCAGTGGAAAAGTAAAGAGAAAAAGCTTGATTTCCTCTGTATCTGTCCCTTGCTTTAAATTTATTAGTCTCAGTCTATTCAGAAACCCAGTCCTTCTACTTTTGACCTTGCTGTACTGCCAGCTGAGCAGCATCAGAAGGGCCAGGGCTTAGCTGGGCAGCCCAGCTTGCCTGACCAGCCAATGCAGTGCCAGCCTCACCTGCCATGATCTCCACTCGAAGCATGAAGCACACAAAGCTCTCAAAGCTGATCTTCAAGTCAGGGTCGCCATATCTGATCGCCATCAAATTACAGACTTCATTGCTGAGCGAAATACCTTCATAAAAGAGAAAAAAAAAAAAAAAAAAAAAGGAAACCAGAATGAGATGGCAACTCCCAGCTGTTGGGAGTTGTGTGTGTGCACAGCTGTGAGCATGCACAACTGAGTGGTCTTCAGCCCTTCTGCAACAGCTTGGTTTTTCAAACCTCCCCTAAGATTATCAAACATCAGGCAGCCCAAACCAGACCACCATGTGGAGATAGCTCCTCCAAACTTGAAAGGGTTCAGATCTGATCCCCTATACTCACAGTCCTGCCAGAGTTGGAATAAAACACACAGGGGCATCCTTTGCTCATGAGTGCATAATAACAGCAGCTGTGTTTAAGAACAATACTCCACAAGAGGGTAGGAAAGGAGATGAAAAATAAAATCCAGAGGAAGCTCATACAGAACGCATCAGCCCCAATGTCAAGCAGCATTTGCAAGAATAAAAGTATTTTCTATTCATGGCCTGGGATTTTAGTTTGCTTTAGCAAAGGTCCACCTGGTTTTCTCACTGTGCTTTCACTGACTCAGATGAACCAGGTGAACCATGCACCAAAAAGAGGAGGGATATTTAAGCTGTAAATTTGCAAAAGAGGCGACAAGACTGAGCACTAGCCCCACGCAAAGCTCAGTAACAGCAACAGAGTACTTGGACCCATGTTTATGGCTTCAAACATTATATTAGTGAAGTCTGGCACCAGTATCGCCTCTGTGCAAGTCCCACACTTCCAGGTTCAGTCCCTGAGCTGTTGTCTTCAGCAAGGGTAGCAGTTTAATATGAGCTGGATCTGGCCCGCATATATCTGCAAAACCCCACATAGTCTTTTAAAATTAAATTAGCAATGAATAGGAAGGGATTTCAAAATTGGGTCTAAAATAGACAGACACTTGTGTTTCAGACAACTATCAGTATGAGACCACACTGGGGCAAAGATTAAGTGGCCCATTCCACAGCAAAATAATTTTCAGATATGTTTGCTCAGCTGAAGAGGGAAGCAGAGATGGCTAAGAATGTGCAGCCTATGGTGTTTTCCACTCCTCCTGGGCTCTATCTTCAATTCTCAAGACGTTTCCCAGTGCTGGGCTTTTTCCAGACTTTGTGAGGAAGAGGACGAGACTTGCTAAGATGTGCTGTGGGCTCACCTGTCTCCTGTACAGCTGCATGTAGTTCCACAAGGTCAAGCTTTCCTGATCTGCTAGTGTCTCTTTTCTGGAAAACTGCCTAGGTAGGGGGAAACATTTTTAAACAAAACATATCCCCCAAAAAACCAACAGACAACACCAAAGGGATTGTGAGCAGGGAGATATTGCAAGGGGACACAGAAATTATTGCTATACCAAATAGAAAAGCAGCCTTTTCCACAGGACTCTGAATTCCTGGATACTCAGTGTGCCAGAGGCATTCAGCTTTGTGGGAGAATTAAGGTCAGAACATCTCAATTAAACGTCAGAGAGCACACATTGCATAAAAAGAAAAAAAAAACAAACAACCTAAAACCTCATAGCCACTCTGCCACTCACACAATTATAATATGAGGATAATGATTTCTTAGACCACAAACTTATCTATAGGCTTGATCCTCCTCCCACTGAAGTGAATGGAAACCTGGCTGGTAATTTCAGAGGTGGCAGGAATCAACCCTTTCCCCAAACTAATTCCATTCTGTCACAACTGAACTGTTATTACAGAGGGTGAGAAGTTCAATAAGCAGAGCCATGTCCTGGTGGTAAAGAAATTGCAGTAACACCCAGGCTGCCCTAAGAAATAACACTCCAGTGAAGTATTATACGAGTCAGTAGTATCACTCATGCCAAGGATACATCCAGGAGCACCAAGATACCCTTGCAGGCATCCAGACTGAAACGTAGGTGAAAACTCTGGAAATCTGGAGACAAGAAAAAAAAAAAACCACCCGCTTGTTTTGAGGAGTCACTGAACATCTCTCAGAAAAATAGAGTCTTTAAAAATTCCCCCTCACTGGAGAGGGCTCAGGCCCCAAAGCCTTTGTGAAACTTTACACCCACTTGAGAAGACATATCATTTATGATGATAAAAATATGAGGCAACAGGATGGATTCTACTAGTCTCAGAAAATCCAATATGAGCTCCCTGCAGGCATGTAATACGGAATGAAATATGGTGCGCTATCTCCAGCTATTAGAGAAAATGGAAGGAAAAGGACATCCAAAGCTGTAATCCCAGAAAGAATTTACTGCATGACCTTGAGCAAAGTCACTTGACCTAAAGAGCTTTGGGGAGGAGCACTGCAGATTAATTGAAACCCTTGTGCTAAGCATCTCTCTCTCTTTCACAGACATGCTGCCAGCTCTGTTAATATAACTAAAAGCACAGGCATCAGTGAAAACATGAAGCTGCATCAAAGTTTAGCATTCCTGGTTCATACATAAGTTACATGAAGAGCAACAGAAATAGACTCTAATCTCACTGCAAATCATGATTATGGATTGTCTGTAGACTTCCACTGAGCAAGGGACAGAACCATAACTCACCAATCCCTTCTCTGCAGAAAGTGAAGATGTTTTAATCTTGTAATAGTCCTGTTTAGTAAATATGAATCAAGTACTGTAAAGTTTTTACATTAATGTCTTAAAATTGATCACTTATGAAAAACAAAGACTCGCTGTTCAACATAGCCTTCTCACAGATAAGACAGTGCCTGGTGGGCCACTTTGCAAAGACAGAAGAGCTATCTTCGTCCACCTTTAAGGGAGCAATGCCAATTTCAGCTTCAGTGGAAAAGGCATCATATCAGTCTTTTGTTCATCTTCTTTGTTGCTTATAATGGCTGGATAATGTATTTTCTGTGTGGCACATCAGTTGTTACCAGTGAAGGAACTGGGAAGGAAAACTGGATTCATCATTATACCTGTAACTTCATTGTTGTTGTTCAGAGAAAGCAGCCACTGCAACACCTCGCTGCTGTCCAGGTAGCTTTATTTATAACTAGGGGCCAAGTTATGAGCTTGCAGAGTACTTTGGGCTTCCACTGGCTGAGTGGATGTCACAGTCCTCACGAGAGAGACAACCTCAGGGCTCACCTGCTTCTCACAAGCATAGAAGTTACACAGGCTACCCGCATCTCCATTCTGTCTCCCAAACACAAACAGAGCAAGGAACAGCCCTACACATGCATAGCAGGGAAGAGTAAATAGGAATAGCAGGCATGAACCAGGCACATCAAAGTAAAGACCAGACCCCTTTCCACCGCATAACTGCCTACAGACCAGGCTAATTTTCTATACCTTCTAGCAGTGGCACAGCCAAGACTGTGGCAGTGGCACGGGGTGAAATCAGATACAGTTTCAGAATCAAGGCTGATGTCAAGCTGGGTTTGGTGGTCAAATTCAGAGTCTGCATCCACACACAATATCTATGCTTGCTCTCCCCTCTCATTCTTTCAGTTGTTGAAATTCAAACTAGATTAGCTTCGCTTATAAAATATCTACCATGTTGATTCACACCCCAGCAAATCCTTTCTCTCTGGAAATCTAACATGGCATCAGAAGAGTCAGTCCAGTCAGATTCAAGCCAGTTTCTCTTCCCAGGATTCAAGAAACAGATACAGGAGCTGATGCTTTTTGCTAAGAGGGTTTATTCTACAGAAACATTATTTCTCAGCACTTACTTCTCCAAGATATATTATTCAGGATCCTCTGGAGCTGAACAGCATTTATTTCAGGATTCTGTGATATGGAAGAGAATTTTTTTTTTTTTTTAAGTATTAAATCACTTTTCTCCCTCTTTTGTTTTCCCATCATGTCCCATCTTCATTCTCTGCTTTCCTGGCCCCACTCCAGCCACTGTGAAAATCAATAGAAAAGACTCCCTTCGAATATGACAAGATCCTCAGCCTGCAAGAGCTGCAGTCTGCTCTAGGCTCGGTTCTCAGGGCTCCACACAGATCAATGCGGTAGTGCAGATTTACACTGAGTGAGGATCCAGACCATTAACCTCTCAGCCCTAGTGCCTTCTGTCCCATCAAGCACACTGTCAAGAGACCTGCTTCAAATATTTCCCTTTTATAATTTACAAACAAAAAAAGATGGAAACTTTGGAATACTTCCTCCCCAAACTTTTCAAAGTAGAGACTTCCCCTCCTCCTTGTTATACTAAAGTTTACAAGTTTTTTTAGAAACAGTGACATTTGTTTGTTGGAAGGATTTTTTTCAATGTCACTCTTTAAAAATAAAAGCCTTTTTTCAGATCATTGAGGCACACCAGGGTAACACACTAAGAAATGGCAGTACTGCTCCCCTCTGTGCATACCTGGACCTCCTGACAGCCAAAGACCAGCACCTCTCAGTGTGTGGCAATTTCTAGCACATCTGAAAGCCACACCGTTCTCAAAAACAAAAATCTTAAACAAGTGGCAAAAAGTAAAAGCATTGCTTGTTTTTAGTCACAGCTTCCATTCAAAATTTTGCTATCAAAAGAGGAAACGTGTTTTTGTGAAACTGTTTTTGCCAGATACAGGGTATGCTGCTAAATAAATGCAGCCACTTTTTCTAAAAGGTGAAACACTTGTATCCCTCACTATAGTTAGTGGGATACCTGACAGTCAACTCCATCCCAAATCAGGCCAGAGAGATCATTAAAAAGAGTCTTTCACAATAAGGATCATATTTCACTATGAAAATTAGTGAAAAAATGAGGTGATGTGACATCTGGGACTTACTTCACCTCTCAAAGCAAGTTAGCTGCCATCAAACTGTGATGAAGGATGTATGAGACAAGTGGCAATATTTCAGGGGGGAGTTGTCCAATAGGTGACTTTCCCCAGTGAGTGTAAGAACACCCTAAAGGGTAGGATGGATCCACACAGCCCACGCTTTGTCTCCCATACAGGCAATAGGAATTAATGCGTAGGGAGAGCGCATGAGCCTGGCAGCTTCTGCGGTCCATTCTCCTGTTTCCCTGGCACCCACGCCTGCTGGAAAAGGGATCTTAGAGGGTACATGCCTGCCTAGTCCTTTTATATCTGTTTATGGACCTGCTGCAGAGGTTTGCTAATACCTTTTGAGCCTGCTCATCCTGTCATATCCACAATGTCCTGTGGCATTAAGTTTCAGACATTCACACCCCACTGTGTAGAGAAGTATGCCTGTCTCAGTGCTAACATACTCCTAAGCTTTGTGGTTAAACCTGCTGCATGGAATCAGCAGTGTATACACAGCCCAGCCTCCTGTGGCCCCTCTCTGTTCCCCAAGCTTCCATGTCCAGACCTCCCTCGAACATCCACATACTTTTACTTTCACAGAGCTACACAATAACTCTGGAGGAGTTTACCCTGGTAGCTCATGCACACACTTACCTGTTCAAAATGCTTTGTGAAGAAATCCTCCCAAATCTTGCCTTCATACCTATCAACAATTTCCTTTAAGATATTTAAAAAAAAAATAAAATAATCAACTCGAGGAAGAAAAATATCACCATACAAGACAGAGTTACTAAAGAGGCTTTCCTAGAACTGCACTCTCATTCCCTGCCCTTCCACCTTCTCTCCACCACTACAATCAATGCTACATCACTAACACAGTCCACTGCTAAGATAGCTACCCACCTCATAGGAATGCTATTTCTTGGAAAGAAATACTCAGATAACACTCAGTGGAGAAAAACATTTCCCTCCCACCAAGCCATGCAACAACAAAGGATGGGGCTCTCTGCATGCCAAGAAGAGAAAGAAGGGTCTCTGTCCTCCTTTATATGGGAGAATAGAGGAGATTAAAGAAGAAATGGCCCTGCTTAGGCCAGGGCAACGGACTATGCTATAAACTCCCTTGCAGAAGTTGCAGACATGCATGCACTGCCATTGAGCTCAGTTATTTTGAAAATAACCTACAGAATGGTGCATGCCCAGGTCCCATGATGTCTTTAAAACCTTCCAGGCATGAAAGGAGTGGGGAGAAGCGCAAGAATGGACTAGGAGTCTCCAAAAAGCCATGAATAGGAAAGACTGCCGAGTATATAAGATAGTGTCACTAAAAGAAGTTTGCAAAAAGGCAGCTAACAAAGGCATTTAAAAATTTGCCCGTGCCCCACACTTGACTGCATCTGTCCACACGGTCCAAGGGACTCTGCCTGTAACCCCAAGCTGCCCTTTCAAAAGTGCTGCAACACGAGCACTCACATTCCCACTCAGCCTCTCCACAGGACACAGCAACAGGAAAAACCCAACACCCGCCATTGAAGACTGAACCACAGCCCTCCCACTCCCCTCATACTCACCTTAGAGAGGGTGAAGTTGGTGTTCACACCCATTTCCCTAGAGATGCCAAAAAGCAGATGCATTAAGGAGCTATCCCAGAGCGGTGTGTTTGTCTCATCACAGGTGGCACACACACACACACCCCCAGAAGGGGCCCCAACCTGCAGCACGGTTTTTTTTCCCCAGTGTTACAGCTGCAGTAAGGGAAGCCCACCCCCTCCCCGCCTCCGCCAGGGGCTGCTGGCATTTGAAGTCTCCAGAGCACTGTTTCTCCACAAGCAACCACCCTGGCACCACCAGCAGGGTCTCCTGGCCAGCTGGAGGTGCATTAAAAACTGTGGTCCTTTTCCAGTCTCAAACATGAGCCTGCTGAGAGAATCCCTTGTGTGGGCCTAGGTCAACACTTCTCAAAAGGATAAGGCCAAAAGCACTGCTTCATCCACTGAGCATCCTATGCTGGGAGAGACCCACAACCAGCCTCTCCAAAAGAGATTGTGCTGCCTTTCGCATGGTAAAGTCTTTATGCTACCCCCATCAGACTAGAAAGACCAGACCATCCCACCATCCCCGAGAATTAGGGACTAGCAGAGGGGCAGCAGCATCTCACCAAAGGACATGCTTCCTGGAGAAGACCCGCAGGATGAATTCAGACTCCCGCTGAGGCTCCAGGGTAGATGGGACAATCACATAGACACCAGGCTTTAGGTGGAAGTCCTGAGTCACTTCCCGCTCATCAAGGAAGACTGGATGCTTGTTTATAGGCTTACATTGGGTGAAGAAAGCTGGGGGCAACTTTCTGTTGCTTTCCTGGTACTGTTAAGGGAAGAAACAGAAGAGAAACATGTTCTGCACCAGCTGAACAAATAGACAAAAGGCACGTGGAGAATTCACAGGCATGGCATAGACAGCCTGCCATCACACCTCAGATTTTTTTTACAGTACAAGCAGATAACAGGGCCCAAAGAACTCAAGTTTCCTTCCAGGACATAGTGGTTCTCACCATGCACCGCACCTGTCCAATACTAAAATGACAAAGAACAGGGCTTCCTGCAACATTATCAACAACGTAACAGTACAGCAGCAAGGCCTGGGAGGAGAAGTGGCTTCTGTCAACCTAAGCCACTGCAAAAGTGATTTCTGTACTCGCAGAAATGATTGCAGCCAGGAACTGCTCTAGAAACTGTTCTTCACTAGCCGGAACACCCCTCCTATCCCACAGGTACCATGCACTTTGTTCCAGCTTGTCCTTTGCACTAGGGATCTGGCAGCAGAGGATTTTGCAGATCTGAGCATACTGCAGGAGCAGCCTAATCCCTAGTCCTGACTCCATGCATGTGTCCTTGATCTGGCTGGCACTCTTGGCTCTTACAGATGTTTTACTCTGCAGGCACTTTTCTGCAATAGGAGGATGGATAAAGTGTTGATCCAGGCAACACTGAACTCATTTTTAATGCCACTGAGTGCCCAGTACACAAGTCAAATAAATAATCCTGCTAGCTAAGACCACTGTCACCTTCTGATCTTGGCTGTTCCTCAAAACATTTAGCCATTTTACTCCACAGCCTCATAGAGGAGATGCTATTCCTCTCCCTTTGCCAGTATTTTTCTTGCTAATAGAGCAATCTTTCTTCTGAAGGGTTCAGGGTTACACCTCCTCATGCCCCTTATGTTAAATTTAAACTTTTTATATTCCAGTCAATACTTTGTTGACTGTAGTTCCAATACCTTAGATGCTCTTGGCTTGCCATCTCTCTGTATTGATCTTGGCAACCGCTGCAAACCTGAAATTAAAATCCTGGCTGCCACCATTCCCCCTCAGGTGTGGCACAGCAGTGTGCTAGGGCTACACTCAGACCCCCTCTGCCAGCAAGTTTAACTCACTTGTAACCCTCATAGTGCCCAAAATATTTAAGTCAGGAAGAAGTGGCATCTTACATCATGGTTACCATGCTGGAAATACAGTAACTGGGAATGCAATTGTGCTGCCCTGACCATACATCCAAACTAGCTCTTTGCCACCCAAATTCAAAGAGACTCATTTAAGAGGTGTTCTGACTAGTAAGAGTGGAAAATATGCCCTTTCAAGATAAAATGAGCTAAACCTTTCCCTGTTTTAAATAGCCCTCTAAAGTCAGGGCCAAAATTGGGACATATATCAGGATTTAATTTCCAGGGCCCTTCTTCAGGTTCCAAAGGCTCTTGGCTAAAGAAAATGCTGGAAATTCAGCTGGCCTGAAGAAGCCAACATGTGTAGCATCAGCTCCAGAGCATGCCCAGCCAGGAAGGACCCTGAGCTCCCCGGGAGACCCCTGACTTGTATGGGACACAGGCTCTGTTCCTACCTCATCCAGAGACCGGGAGGCAGCAGAAAGGTGGCACTGGCTCCCCTGAGAGTTGCAGCAAGTCCAGTTCAGACACAGCCAAGAATTGGGGCACCATCCCGCAATCGCAGGAGGGACAAAGCACTGATCAGGTAAACACTGATGCCACTTCTAATGCCTTTGAAGACTCAGTGCAGAAGATGAAGAACTAATAATTCCCTTCTGAAAGCCACTAAGCCGTCCTGATACAGCTGCTCTTCAGAAGAGTCAGTAGATTGCTCTGCATTTATAGTGACTTACTGTGGTGCATCCTGAACTCAAATACACTGTTACTAGCTGTCAGCCAAAGAACAAAGGCAAACGCAACACCTTCAATGTTGTCATAACAGCTGCACCAGCACAGGTCCCCCAGCAAACAGACAGCAGCGGTGACAAGAGACTCACCTGTAGGTCCACCTGCAGAAAGAAAAGAAACAGAGCATCTATCAGACAGGGACTTCTGGGTCTCACACAACATAGCCATATCATTTCTGGGAAGCAACTACATACGTTCAGCTGGGGTCTTCACCTGCAGAAACCTCAGCCCCTCCACCTGAAAACCCTTCCCCACAGCAATCTCTCCATAACTGGGCAAACTCACAGCGGCAACAAGAGCTGTGGCTCTGTTGAAGGGAGGAAAGTGGCCCTGCAAGGCATTCAGATAAGCAGAGAATTGAGGGGGGGAACTCTCAGTCCTTCTAGTGGTATCCACTTACCCCTGGATGCACAGGGAACTAGCAGCACTCACACTGGGGCAGCTGCCACATCATACTAGGAACACTTCTCAAGCACAGTTTTACCATGGTTGGAAATAACCCGAGGGCAGTGCTCTCCCTGCCCCAAAGTAAGGGGACTCCTGGCACCCTTTTCCAGCTCTTGCACATACCATAAGAGAGGGCAAAATAAAGCCCAGTGTGCTCTGAAGCAAGAGGCATTTCTCACTGCTCTGCAGGCCAACACACAGCATGCCAGAGAGGCAGCAAGAGCCCTGATGCGTGAGGAGGCTGGGCACAGGCGAGGAGAAAAGAGCACAGATCACCCTACTCCTGGTATGCAAAGGTCTACAATTTACAGGGGCTGGAATTTTTCCTATTTGGTGAAAGCAAGAAAGGCAAAGCAATTCTTCATACCTTGTAGAGTGAAAATCCAATGAAGAGGTGAGGAGCTCGGTTCCGATGTTTGCTGCTGTGTTTCTGCATCAGGGATATAACCACATTGCAGGAACTCAGGCTTTTCTTACTGTCTTCAACTGGCAAAACATTCAGGCAGTACTGAGGGTTCATCCAAAAACTGCCTAAGCAAAACAAGAAAAACATTTTGATGTAATTTTTCATCACAAAATTGGTTGCCAGCTTCCCACATGATGCCTGGCATCAGACCAAATAGATTACAGCTTGTCTGGACCTCTAGATTTCGCAGGGATTTGATCTTAGGGTGCAGTTTACAAGTTTAGCAGTGCAACCACTGTGCAAGACAGGAGAAAGGCACAGGAACAAGGAACTACGTTTCTGCTCACCTGCAACTAAGAGCTCATATTGTTTATAAATGTATGACTATTCCTCTATCACCTCCAGCGTACGGGCTAGCTGACTTCAGACCCCACCTCCTCTGCTTCCAGAATGGCCAAGCCTCTGTATTTCTCATTCACTTTACTTAAAATACCTTTCCCTGAAGGTGCAGGGGATGCAAATTTTAGCAGACAAATTTAAATGCCCCAGAGAAGCTCAGTGTTGGCAATCGATCCTAGGGTCCTACAGCTCACTTAATGCCACGACCAGCCCACTGCCCTATGTTGTCAAGTGATGCAGCTTCTGTGATAGCAGAAACTAGTCTAAGTCCTTCAGCTGCTTATTTCTGATGTTTGTGTGGAGGGTTAAGCAGGAAGAGCATGTTTCTGTTGTCAATTTTGTGTGAACAGGTATAAGGTGCTGGTAACTGAGTCAGCAGAGCAATGTTACTCCAGAGTCATCCAAAAGAGCACCCCTCACCATTACAGAATCCCAGACTTCCTCCCGCTGTACTTCCTTTAACCCATCTCCCACTCTTCAGGGAGTACATCCACTTCTTCCCATCTTCCTGGCTCATCAGGTCTGGAGTTAGTTTACAGATCATCAGATCTACAAAATGAATCTTAAAATCTTGCAGAGACATCCTGGGAAAAGAGTGCCAAGAGACATCTTGTCAGCAGTTTCGTTTAGTCCATATGGCTTACAAAAAGAAAAGGAAAGGGAGCAGGGAACTTCGAAGCCGCACCATTCTGTGTTACATATGGTAATGCTCATATTTTATTAGGTAGTAAAGAAGAGAGCGTCTGCTCCAACAGCAGCATCTAGCAGTAGCAAACGCGTGACTAAAATTTCAGCAAAGGATAGCAGCACAGAGATTAAAATAATATTGCCACCAAAGGGACCGCAGTGAAATGACACGGGCGACAACATTGCCACCTCGTGGTAGAAGCTGTGGAGAAACCACCAACAAGCACAAGGCAAGCAAGAGCTTCCCAAAGCTATCTTAAAAATAAAAGGCAGGACAAAAGCTCCTGAACGCAAGCTGCCCATGTCTCCAACAGCCTTGGGAGACCTGGCAGTGTCCTGCTTCTCCCTCAGTCCTGCCACTGAAGAACAGCGTGTCTCTTCCGCGTCAGCACAGCTACTGCTTCTCACATCGCCAAGCAGAGGAAGAGAGCAAGAGAGCAAGCATGGGCTGTTATAAATCAGATCACATACGCCCCGACCTAAGTGGCAATGTGCTGCTTCATCTCCAGGCGCAGCCCCAGAGCTACTGGCAGAGAGGGGAGAGGCAAGACTGTGCCATTACCAGAATTCTCCATCCTCCTTCTTTTTCCTCAACAAAATTTTCTCCTTCGGGCTCAGCAGCTCCCATTTGTAAGAGCTAAGGGCAAAAACATGAGGTGACTAAGCAAATGTGGCCTCAAATTCAAGGCAAATTACATAGCTTTCTTCTATAAAAAGAGGCCAAATCCCTGTCCCCACATATCTCATTTATCCCCCACCAAACACAGGCCCCCTGTGCCTTCAGCCATGGGAGATTCTCCACAAGCATTCTGGGTCCCATGAGATGGAGCTAAATGGTTCCAGTTTTCTCCAGCAGAAGCCAGATACGCTCCATTTCCATCAGCCAGTCCATTCACTTGCACACACAGCTTCCAAGTGCTTAAAATATAAAATGAATGAACGACTAGGACAGCACAAGAGGCAGCTGGGAGTCATTTAAAAGGCAGGCCTACAGTATGTTGCTCATTATGCTCTTCAACAGGAACAGCTGGTATGTTGTCATTATGTGACAGACACGCATCAGAGAAGCTACTGCTCTGCAGACAAGGTGAAAGTCACTCATACCCCCAGCACCTCCCTGTGCTCTTCCCTCCTCCCTAGCCCCGAGCCTCAGCAAAACAGGGTCTGTGCTGGGAATGAAGTGAAGCTTGGAAAGAAGGAACATGCTCCACTTCAAAGAGGAATAGGACACAAGTCTATACTTGCCTGTGGTCTAGAATGTAAACCACTGTCTTTCATGGATCCCAATCAAAAACATTCAGGCAGATGCAAATACAGGGCCCTTCTGCCTCACTAGTTGCTTCCTCTGATCTCATACCCAATTGCATTTCCACAAACAGGCAGGACAGAGGACTCCTTTGCAGCCACCCAACTCCAACACTTTGCAGCCCGTGGAGGACTTTGCACGGTCCCTCCTGTGATAAAGGGCTGTGTGCACTGACACATGCTGTTTGTTTAGAGCCTCCTGCACAACTATCTGTCACTTTGCATGCCATCGAGATCGCAGCAATGTGGTCAGCATCTCATGTTCATATTATGTTTCCTCTGGTATCCAGTCAATGGAAAAGCAGAACTGAGCTTGTTGAAGCTGCATGTGTGAAGTGAGCCCAACTACACAAGCACTATCTGCTGGAGAAATACAAACCTATCAAGCCATTGCTTTGACACCAGAGGGTCTGTGCAAGCAACTGTTACTTATCTTAATGCTGCTCTCAGCACTAATTCATGCCTGAAGATGGCAGCATCTTTCCTCCAAGAAACCTTTTCTCCCACTCAGCATCAAACCTTCTCTTTTTTAAACTCACCTGTCACTCCAGTCACCTTTCCATTCAATTTTTCCCCATGGATTTCTCAATCTCACTAGGTTTTCTGGCCCATATTGACAGGTCACCTGCAGAAAACAGTACCACTATGCTTAACAAGGTCTCAGCAGTTCTCATCTGGTTTATATAACTGTACTATGTCAGATATAAACAAAGATTTTGTTTGTTCTCATAGATGCCAGCAAGTATGGTGACAAAAATCTATGAATGTGCAACTCTGAGTGCTGGCACAAAGAGACTAAGATGCCTTATCTTACCTTCTATAATGGAAAACAGAGACCTCACAGATTCCTAATTTGGAGGCTTGACTGTAAATTCCTCTTCCTTTCCAACAGCTGCTCATTTTGTGCTTATGTGGGGGCAGGCCTGTACTACTGTGAAACTAAGTCCTACCCCAATGCAATGGCACAGCACAATGCAGCCCAAGGAGTGACCACATAAATAAGTGCCTCTTGAACTGGGATGCCATGGTGGGACAAGAGGGAGCCAGGCCAATTAAGGGCTTTGTTGGCAGCATACAGCAGAATGGCTGACTTCACATTGGTTCCACGTGCTCAGTCAGCCCCTTACTCCTGCCTGGCTCTTCATCCCATCAGAGAAGCCAGACTGACAGACATGTCACTGATAAAGTCCATACCTAAAAACCCCTCCTGCTGTGCATGGGAGACACAGGCATGCATCATCCAGCTTTCCTAGTATCTCTTGCTAGAGGGACTGAACTTGCTTTCACCCACATCTAGCTCACATGTCCAAAGCCCCACAAAATCCTTTGCCATCCTTGTCAACCTCCTTTTGAGGCTGGACAAGACAGTCATCCATCAATCCAGGAGGAGAAAGCTCGAGCTTTCTCCCACTCATTGGGACCTATTATTTTACTGTCCATTACCTTTAGATAAATATCTTTAGGGGACTCCCAGTGATACTTCTGCAGATCAGTGGTGTCCACCTGCACTCTCTGCACAGGAGCCCAGTTTGGTTCCCTTACTTTAGCCTTGACTCACATTTCCATCTGCAGTTTTTTATGTTTCGGCCCTTGTACTCCATTATCTTTACTTCTCTATGGCCGCTCCTCTGACTCCAGAGGAAGGCTTTTTACCCCAAGTAGGTTTCAGCACATCCTCCCAGCATCCCCAAAGGCCAGTCCTTTTGTCCTTAACAACTAAGATGCATCTGTAGGTGATGATCTCAGCAGAGCCCTATGAATCATTCCCATCCTTAGAGATATGCTGATCTGTAACCATTGTCTTTTACATCAAGGTCAAGATACTAAAATGGACACACTTGAAAGTGAATCTTTACAAAGCACATGGTCTCTTTTAGCCCTAGACTAAGACAAGAGCACTGGGGGAGAAGATACCATAGTTGCCCTGATTAGGGTTGAACCTATAACTGCAATAGAAATTGCTGACATCCAAACAGACCTGGACCCAGAACATTAGGGCCAGTCTTACCTTTCTAATACCAGTCACTGTGTAGGCATGGCCAGCAACAAGCCCATTCTTCAGGACCTTTGTTGCCTGTACACAAGGAAGAGAAACAGAAAGAAAATAAGCCTTTTATTCTATCCCTACTTACACAGCAGACTCATACCAATACCAGAGAGCTGTACCTGTGTAAGCAGTGACTCTCAAAGCAAATGGACAATCATTTGAACTGAAAAAAAATTAAGTCTAAGCTCCTAACAGCCATATTTTGCAGTATGCTTGGAACTGGAAGGTTGATTTGGAGGGTCCCTTCCTAAATTGTGGATCATTCGCTAGAGACCATCTCACTTTTTAAAAGTCCAGGAGGTTAGGTTTTATTATCAGAATAGTAGGGTTTCCCAACAGCTGAAGTGTTAGCAAAAGGCTTGAAGCCAAGATTTGAATTCACATTCTGAACTACACACCTCTCTATCTCAGCTGTAAGCTTATTCCATGAGTCTCTGTGCCTCACTACACCATCTTTAAAAATGGAAAATTTGTTTAACAAAAATCAGAAAATGCAGTTGATTCTTATTTAATAGAGGGTCTTTGATAGATCAACCAGTTCTGAAAATAACAACAGGGAGCTGAGAGCAGCAGGGAATCGGTCCTGTGCAACCTGCTCTAGGTGACCCTGCTTTAGCAGGAGGGTTGGACTAGATGATCTCCCGAGGTCCCTTCCAACCCTTGCCATTCTGTGATTCCATGATCCATGGGCAAATTTTAACATTAAGAATGTGATTTCTGTGGAAAGTCACGTGTGGCAGCTTGGATACATTTTGGGTCACAATGACTAGCTGAGTAGAGGAAACAGATCTGGAAAGGCTTTTAACTGTGAAGCCATTTGATGTCACTCCAAGTCTCACCCCTAAATGTGTCTGACAGCCCATGAGAGATCTGCTGTACGTTGCTCTTGTCAGGATATCCCATAGATCAGGAGGAGCCGCTGCAAGATTGATCCTTATATTAACACCACCTGTAAAATCCACCAAGGCTTCTGAAACTTGCCCAATCTGCAGATCTTCATAGGAGCCATACAGTCTAGCAAAAAAGACATCAATGGATTCTTGGGGTTATAGTCACAGATGATAAGTTGAGAACAGAGTGCCAATGAAAACATACAATAAAGGTTTGCAAAAGCAAAAGGAAGGCTGTAACTCATACATAATTTTAGGAGAATCTTTGGCATTTAGGAAGAGGAGGTCTAGCAAATTGTCTCCAGGACTGGCCATGATCTGAAAAGGTCTCTTCACTCACTGTCATCCCTCACTGCACAGTAGCAAGAACTTACTTGATAACTCTGCCTTAGCAAATGTTGCCTGAATTTATCACCAGACACTGTGCTGTATCTATGATAGAGAGCTTCGAGAGGCACACTGCCTTGAGAGCTCAGTCTCCAGTCTGATTTTCTTTATCATTCCAGTGCAACTTCCTCCGGTCTTTTTGTTCTAACAATAACACCAAATGAAAATACCTGAACTTTCTCTGCTTTGCTGTGATCTTTCCCTCAATGTTAACTAGGATTTTTCCCTTCTCTGCAGAGATTATTTCAGCCCAGTATTTACAAACTCCATCAGTTATGTCTTGGTGCTTTCTTCTTAGTCCTGATAAACCGCTTTAGACAAAACACCCTGGAGAGAAGCCACCGTGCCATGTGACTTGTTGAATGCCTCAGCTTTGGGGGCTGAGTGTGAACTTCTACCAAAACTAAAGTACAATGCTTCATCAGCCCCCCTACAAATGAAACTCCTTGAAGCTTTCTCAAACTGATAATACATCAAAGGAGGCATCAGAAATCATTCACCTTTGAAAATCCCTATCTGTGACCTTCCACTCCTCTGCAGTATTTACAAGGAAGGCATCATCCCAGCCAATACACTCCAGTCAGTGATAACACTCAGAGGACAACCCCCCCAGTACAAGTCTGTTTTCATGCCTACTCCTAAACCCTTGGATTTAAACTCAAGGGCCTGGATTGATAACAGCTACTGTAGCAGCAGCCTTTACTGTGTAATAATAAAAAAAAGAGAACCATTTAATACACTCCAAACATGGTGAGGCCTAGGAGATGCATTTATAAACAAGAACAAACTGTGTAGGCACCAACCAATATATTTTAGTGAGACTATTTGCATAACTTGGAATGAGTCACTTACTTAGCATATGCCTTCTCCAGAAGGGCTCCCCAGAACACATTCTTATAGACTGAGGAAACAAAGACCAGCTCCCCTGACTCATTCACCGGCAAGAGATCATCAACCACCACGTCAACCCATTCACCGAAGTGCCAGAACTGTCAGAGAAAAGAAACGAGCTAATGTTTCCCTTGGAAGGGACCTCCCCTTGAAGCAACAGGAAAAGCAAGATAGCTTAGCTGTGGGGACAGGACAAGCTGCCTTGGGGTAAGGGCTGCTTTGGGTCAGTGGGACATGCTGGCTCACCCACAAAACGAACCCCTCATCCCCACCCTGCCAGAGGAGCAAACAAAACCTCTATCGGTGTAAAAGGATTAAGTGGGGAAATCAGGCACAGCTGGGCCTCTGGGGAAGGAGTTCCTAATTGCAGGGTAGAAGAGTTGCAGCAAGAGCTGGGCAAAGGGGTAGAAGGTTGGAGCAGATGTGCTCAAGCCCCGCGGACTGTTGCTACTATGTAGGAAGAGTTTTGTCTGGATCAAAATATGGGTAGGGCACAGCTGGAGAGAAGGGCCAAGCGGAGGTGTATCCTCAGACTGGCTTGTAGTTGATCTGCTGCCTGTACTGCTTCGTTGGAGGGGTAATGGGCTACCCTCCAGGCCAGGATACCCTCTGGCCACTTGCCCCTAGCCAAGGGGAACCTCATACAAATTATTTAAGGGTGTGACACAAAACGTGACAGAGGATTTCTGAAGACCTCCCTGCACTCTGGAGGAACAGACATACCCGGAAGTGGAAAATGCCAGCATATTTCCTCTCAAAGCTCTGGTTTTGTGGTACGACTGCAGCCAAGATGTCCTGGTGGAAGGTCAGGGCTTCCAGGGCCGCCAGGAACCAGCAGTTCTCTGCGCCAAGACAAACGGACACATGCAGTTGGCTGAAAAGCAGGAGTTGTCAGCCAAGTTCAGGAACACCACCAAGATCCTAGCAGAAAAGCTGTTGTGCTGATGTCTTTACAATTATAACAAATCATACACAGAAAATGAGATGGTCCAGACGTGTGCTTTATGTAACCAAACCATGATTGGTTTATACTTGTTCTCTCATGATCTTTTCATTTGGATACTGTTTGGTTAAATAAGAAATTTAGCAAGAAATAGCTCTCAGAGGAAACATTCTGGTTTTTTACTGACATTGTGTGGTTTTTTTCTGTTCTCTGTAAAGGCACACTTAAAAAAAACAACTTTTCCCTTTTTCTTTGAAAACATTAACTTTTCAGAAGAGAAAAAATATTTCCAATGGATCTCATATGCAAGGCTGTACTTATCAGACTTTATGTTTAAGGGCTTAAAGCACTTAAAAATTAATTTAGTCCTGCCCCTACCTATTTTGCAGATGACAATATATCCTTTTACTTTAGTAACATGGACATAAAAATGATTTTTCTAACTGCAACGCTGGAAGAGAATGTGCTCACACTAAGCCTTAGATATAAAGATAGTGAAAGTCTCAGATTTTCCTGCTTCTGTGGTCGCTGTTCAATTGTCACGCAGCAACTTTACAAACCAGGAAGAGCACAGGATCACCTCCTGTTGCAGTACTAGCATATACAGAAACAACACAGAGAATGGCAATTTCAGCTTGTGGAGACACCTCTCACCCCTCAAATCCCACCTTAAAGTTTGCCAGATTTTTTGCTGAGCCTACCCCATTTTAATGATTGCTTCATCCACACCATGCCAAATGAAGAGATAAGGATATGTGCGCCTTCTATTTCTATGCCTAGTTTTATACAGTCAAAATTCCACACAAAATATTTTCTTGTATAAGAATATTTATAAAAAGGAGCTTCCTTACCCACCAATCCTTGGCAGAGATCAAGTTGCTTTCTGTTTGCAGCATAAAATACTGGACTTCTGTGCAAATCCTGGGAAGCACACAACCAAAAAGAGGGAGAGAGTCAAGTCAGTAATAACAGCTGGTTTAGCTTGAAGTCAACGACTTTCTGCACACAGAGCTGCAATCTTGTAAAATGGGAAATCCAGGGCGTTCCTAGTCTAGGATGTAAAAACCTCATGGATACGTGACACAAACCACTCCCTCTGCCTGTTCAAAGCTTTCAAAATACTTAGGGTCCCTTTTTCCCAGCAGACATTGTTCTCATTCAGGTGTAACTCTAGTGTTAACGTGCTCTGGCTAACCTGACACAAGCCTGGACACACATCTGTGCTTAGTCTACATTGAATTCGGGCTCCAGCATAAGCCACTGGTGCTCAGATGCATCACCATGGGTCTCCACAAACACCTCGCTAAGAAGACAACCCTTCAGACCTGCCAGCCTTGCTCCTCCCTAATTACTGACAAGTTTCAGCCAAAAGAGGCTACAATGGGAGAGCATAACTATTCAAACTTTCAGCTAACCTGGCTGTCATCTCCACAATTTGACTGACAATTGAGCTCCAGACTGATGGCTACTACAGAAGTTCCTGTGGCTGTGACAAGAGTGGGTCTGTGAATAATTGTTCAGAAAGAAATGATGCTGTTATTTTTTAACTCTCACAAGTGCCTCTGGGGTCATATTAATAACCTAAGCATCAAACTTACACTTCACTCTAGTGATCCACAAATTGCTCAAGCTGATTTTCACGCTGTTGGCTTCCCCTTCAAGCAGTAGCAGAGAAACAGCAAACCCTCAGAAGGCAGTTACGGTAATTAGACACCAACCCCTATCCTTGGTGCATTTGGATGTTCGGTTTGGAGGCTGTCAGTCATAGATGCAGCAAGCTACAAGCCTGCAGGCTGAATGGCAGAATCTCAGAGTTTCCTCTGCAGCACAGGGACTGAAGGATGCACAGCATCCATCCTCAGAGAGCCTTTGCTGGGCTAAGCTTGACATCGAGAACAAATGGCAGCCTTCTTCACGAGACAGTTTTAGAGCAGTAGAACAGGACTGAGAGACAGAGGAGGTTTCAAGTCCATTCCATTATCTCTGGGGTGGAGAGACACCTGAAGGGCTTTGTAGAGGCCAGGACTCATCTTGATCTTTTCCTCCCAAATAGCTCTATGCTGATACAGTCACGGTGTACAGTGACTGTACAGTCACTCAGCCACAGTGCCCAGCACAACCCAGCTCAGGCCCCTGAGGACTGCGCTCTTCCTCCGTCTGCAGATCCTGACTTAACACAAACCATCTGTGAGATCAAATTGCATATGAAACCCAGGGCTGCTATTCCCAAGCTCTCCTGCACAATTTGTAAGGTGCCTTTACTTTCCCAGTGATTTTCCTGAGTTTTGCAGAAACTCAGCCCTTCTAAAAAATTAGTTAAATCTGACAAAATATGACAGCTAGAAAATATCTTAGCTGGAAGACATCTGCTATTACCTGGCAGAATTACCTTACAGACAGAGTAACATAAAGAGTCGGTGCTACTGAAATACTCAGATGGTTCTATACATTGCTTTCAGGAAGAGCTGATTGTCAGTATGTTGCTCAGTGGCTCAGTAAGAACAGAACTGCCATTGCTAGTAACAGGCCAGAGGTAACAGGCCTTATCTAACTGTCCCAGTCCCCCGTCCTGGCCTCCCAGACTTGTTATCCATTTGTTATGAGAACTTGCTTTGTGACCAGCGCTTGGTACCAGGTGTCTCTTGTTGTGATGTTCAGTTTAAGCATGGGATACCAGTAAAGGCCTTGGAAACATGGGCACAAGTAGAAAACAGAGGTCCCAGAACTAAAAACAGCTCACTGATTGGTGGTCAGTTACTGTGGAAGAAGTACAACCTTGAGAGCTGTGAAAAGACTGCCCTATGTACAATAAATAATAGACTAAACAGTTAAGCAGGAAAAAAACAGCTCAGCAAGAGGATAAGGCACCTGCCACTGCTGGGGAAAGTAGCAGCCTCCAGCATCACAACAGTATGTGGTCCATGGGAGAGAGATCAAAGGCTAAGAACTGCCTAGAAACTCAGAAATCTTCTAAAAGGTCAAGATCTTGAATTTGGGGAGAGGGATCATGGCCATGAGAACTGTCATCACAGAATCACGGTGTAATCAGTGCTGTGAGCTCCAAGAACACCGGCTCCCCCCGCGCCCTTTACCTGCCCTCCCTGCCTGCTCTGAGCATTACTGGATATAAACTGAATGAGGCTGGTTATGATTTTAGGCAACAAATGCTTCAAATGCAATTATGAAACTCCATGTACCCCAGCTTCCTAAATAACAGTTGATGCAATAAGGGCAATCTCTGGAAGCATTAAAGCACACCTAAATTAAAGTCTAAGAGTAGTCTGCTCAATGCTAACACTGTTTGCTGGCTGTCACCTGTAATCATCCTCTTACATGAGATTATTCACTGGAAGTCACTTACGTGTGGCCTCTTCCACCGTAAATTTTGGGGTAGTTTCTTTAGCAGTGCTCCCGTTCCAATAGAGCTGATGTGAGCAGGGAAGTTGTCATCTGTGAACAGGCATTTGTTCTTCAAGCACTCCTCCAGCAAGGCCTGGTAGTTCTGCTTGATGGGTGGGGTGCGTTTTTGAAGGATACTCTTGCCTAAAGGCACAGGTGACTTATTTTTTTTCAAGAATGGCAGAAAAGGCATGGCAACATCCACAGTAACACCAGAAAATTTTTTTCACTGAGGATTCTGCAGGGATCTCGCCCTGCACAGTCGTGCTGGAAACGCCTTGTCTCTTGGAATGAGGCAGGTCTCCTCCAGAAGAATTCCTGATTGTTAAAATAAGCGTAAAAAGTCATTTTCCCAGGACAAGTGGGGGACCCATCCAATTCTAATCTAGCACCTAACACCGCCTTTTTAAAGGCTTTACATTTGCTGTAGATCTGAGTGAAATCAAAATGAGTGACCCCATTGACTTTTACTGGGGCTTTGAAGCCATACATAGGGCTATTCTCAGTCTCCCTCTGGACTATTTTAGGCTCTCCAGGATATTTTCATAACATGCTGCAACATGAATGACAGTCTTTATTCAATCACATTCTGGCATGTGGCTATTTTCCCTCCCCCAAAAAAGAAAAAAAGCAAGATAAACCAAGGGCTAAGAAAAAAATGGAATACATTAGGTGTTATAAAGCCATTACTTACAACCCCCCAATGGTTATTTTGCCCTTTTTGCCTCATTTTGGAGAATGATACAATCTCCCCCAAGAGATCACATTCCATCTTGCTGATTACTACAGATTCACACATGAAATCACATTCAGAGATACTTTTTCTTGTAACAGTCAAGACAGATGTTTCTCATCCCCCCACTGAAAACAGCAAAGAGTGATTTCACAGCTCTTTTTTAATATTAGCAGCTATGCTAAACATTAGCAGCCATCACCTTTTGCTGCAAGTGGTGGGCTCCTGGCAGAAATCATGATTAAAATCTCAGCAGGCAAATCACACCCATCAGTGGTAACAAGATGATCATAATCACAGCCTTCTCATTACAGTGTGGACTGAAAAAATGAATCGGGATACAAAGTTCAATAAATGGTTCACATGGCATAATGACACAGTATTTGGAAAGCTTCCCTGCAGAGGAGGCTCACTGAGACTCAAAATCACTGCCCCAGGCACCCTAAGAAACTGGTCTCAGTTAGGAACCAGTTGATTGTTACTGCCCTCGAAGCTGAAGGTCACCGGCGTTCCCTGTGAGAAACCATACAACCGCAGATTGCGCCATCCTCCCACACAAAGCCCGCATTTGTTACAAAACCAGTCTACAACTGATCCACAAGGCTTGATCCTCAAGGGCAACCAAGTGAAAATCTTCAAAATATAACCCTGGAAACACAAATTCAATTTTC